ACCCGGGGCCTTGGTGTTATCAGCACCGCACTCTCCCGAGTGAGCCACGGGCCAGCCCCCTACTTTTTTTTTTAATTATTATTTTTAATTGTGGTAAAATACAATAACATAAAATTGACCACCTTAATCATTTTCAAGTGTACAGTTCAGTGGCATTTAGTACATCACAGTGACGTACAACCATCGCCACCATCCATCTCCAGAGCTTTTTCATTCTGCAAAGCTGAAACTCTGTACCCATTCAACAATAACTCCCCATTCCTCCTTTCCCACAGCCCTGGCAACCACCATTCTACTTTCTGTCTTTATGAATTTGACAACTCTAGGTACCTCATATAAGTAGAATCATACAGCATTTGCCATTTTGTGATTGGCTTATTTTACTCAACATAATGTCTGCAAGTATCGTTCCCTATTTTAACAACTCACTGGCAAGTTGGATCTGTCCTACAGACTGAGATGGGAACGGGGTGTGTGTGAGTGGCATAAGAAAGGGTGTTACGCACTTAAGATGAGGGCCCAGGCTCAACGACGTGAAGCACCAAGAACAGTACTGAGCTGTGGTGGGTACAAAAATGGCTTCCAAAGATGTCCATGTCCTAATCCCCGTGTTACCTCATGTGGCAAGAAGGGACTTTGCAGGTGTGATTAAGTTAGGGACCTTGTGGTGGGGAGATTTTCCTGGATTATCTGGGTGGGCCCCATGCAGTCAGTCACAAGGGTCATTATAAGAGAGAGGCAAGAGGGTCAGAGTCAGAGAAGATGAAGTGACAACAGAAGCAGAGGTTGGGGCCACGGGACATGGCATGCGGGCAGCCTCTAGAAGCTGGAAAAAGCAAGGAATCAGATTGTCCCCTGAGGATTTCAGAAGGAATGCAGCCCTGCCACCCATTTTGAACCTCTGACCTCCAGGACTGTAAGAGAGTAAGTTTGCATTGGTTTAGCTGCTAAGTTTGTTACAGCAGCAGTAGAAAACGAATTAGCTTAAAAGGTGGTCAATATATATTAGTTCCCTGCTTCCCACGTTCCAGGAGTTCAGAAGTTGGGAAAAGGAGGTCTATAACACGTGAAGGAAAGACACAAGGCAAAGCAAAAGCTGCCAAGGCATACAGAGCAGGGCTGCGGGCTCAGAGAAGGGAGAATTGAAGGCTCGTGGTGTGCCAGGCTCTAGGCAGAAGTTACTTGTGAGCTTGATCTTCACCAGCAGGCGGATGTATAAGGAAGGGGAAAGAGACCGGGGAGAAAGATAGCAAAGGGCTGGAGGCGAGAGAGGGATGAATCACAGAGCTGCCCTACAACCTGCGTTCACCATGTCACTGCGTTCACCATGTCACTGCATCCACGCCCCACCATCTCCTGCCTGTGGTGGTGGACCCTTAGGAAGCCAATGGCACCACTCTCTTAGTAAGATGTTCCAGGATCTAAGAGCCCCTCCTTCCAAGAAGAAAGGTCCCCTGAGAAGACCCGAGCCCTTGTCAGATGGAAGGGGCACAGACATTAGAATGGGTGGTGGCATCTGCCAGGCTCAGTGAGAGGTTTCCAACATCAGCCCTACAGCCGCGGAACCACCACTGACAGTACTGACAGAGCTCCCCAGACCCTACACTGTAACGCTATAGGGCGAGTGGCTTTGATCCTTGTGGGACCTTATGGGACTCCAAAATGCTGCTATACATAGGGCCAGGGATCAGGCCTTGACCCACTCCCTTCCTGTGGTCTCGCCATTCCCACAGCTGCAAGTACGTGTGCATTACATACGCATATGCCTTTCACAGTTACATCTCCAGCCCAGGACCTATCTCACGCTTCAGACTCATATGTCCAGCAGCCTACGTGACGTCCTCACTTGGGTGTCTGATGAACATCTCAGACTCAACGTGTCCAAAACTGAGCTCTGACATCTGACCCCAATGCCGCTGCACGCCACCCTTCCCCATCTCAGCCGGTGGTTATTCCATCCTTCTAGTTGCTCAGGCCGAAAGCCTGGTCACCATTGACTTCCCCGCTTTCTCTCATACCCCATAATGATCATCAGGAAATCCAGTTAGCTCTCCCTTCATGCTACCACAGTGCTCCCTTTAAGGCACCACCTCCACTGCCACCTCCCTAGTTCAAGCCATCGTGACCTCCCACCTAGATCACTGCAGCATCCCCCCAGCAGATCTCTCTGCTTCCACCAGTGTCCCTCCTTCAGTCTATTCTCAGCACTGTGGCCAGAGTACCTGTTCAAAACGTAAACCAGATCATATTTCTGCTTAAAACCCTGACACGGCCCCCACATCACACAAAGTAAAACCCAAGGGCCGGCCCGGTGGCGCACTGCTATAGTGCGCCTCTTGGGAAGCGCGGTGGCGCTCCCGCCAAGGGTTCAGATCCCGCGTACAGACCGGCCGCTCACTGGCTGAGCGAGGGGCGGGAGCAACACCGAGGGTTGCAATCCCGTGGCCGGTCCCGGTCCGGTATGGGCGCGACACTGAGGTTTGCGATCCGTTGCCGGTCACGAAAAAAGACAAAAAGGAAAAAAAAAAAAAAAGTAAAACCCAAAGTCCTTAGAATGGCCCATATGTCCCACGTGACCAGGCCCTCCTCCCATCATCTCTATGACCTCTTCCCCCACAACTCTTCCCCCTTGCTCAGTCCACTCGGGCCACACGGGCCTCCTGGCTGCTCTGCTCCTGACTTTTCCTCTAGCTGAATTCCTTTACCTCCTTTGGTCTTTGCATCTCATGGCCTCAGTGAGGCCTTCCCCAATGTTACAAACTGAATGGTGTCCTCCCAAAATTGATATGTTGAGGTCCTAACCCCCACGTACCTCAGAATGTGACCGTAGGAGGGTACTTCAAAAAGTTCAAGGAAAGATTTGTAGTATCTTTTATTTTCTTGGCAGCTGGCCGGTAAGAGGATCTGAACCCTTGACCTTGGTGTTATATAACAGTGCACTCTAAACAACTGAGCTAACCAGCCAGCTCCCATATTATGTTTTGATTCCATTTTCCATCAACTTTTTGAAGTACCCTTGTACTCGGAAATAGGGGCTTTAAAGAGGTAATTAAGTTAAAATGAGGTCACTGATGTGGGCCCTAATTCAATATGACTGCTATGCTTACAAGAGAGGAGATTAGGATACAGACATAGAGAGAGACCATGTGAAGACACAGAGAAGACAGCCACCTACGAGCCAAGGAGAGAGGCCTCAGAAGGAAACAACCCTGTTGACACCTTGAAGTTGGACTTCTAGCCTCCAGAACTATAAAACAGTAATTGCTGTTTAAGCCACCCAGTCTGTGGCACTTTGTCATGGCAGTCCGAGCAGACTAATTATACCTGGCCACACAGTACCAGATGCTCCTAGATTTCTTAGTTTTCTTCTTACTGTATCCTCCCCACCCAACCCCCCCACCAATTCTCCAGTGTTCTGTCAGTAAACAGCACTTGTCCATTCAGGTAGAGCACGTGGGGAACGGTCCTGCACTTCTCCCTTCTTCTGCACAAAGCCTGATTCTTCCTACAGGTCTCTCCTTTCCCTATTCCATGCTAGCCCGGGGCACTCACTGCCAGCCTTCTCATGGACCACTGCGGCAGCCTCCTGCCTGGTCTCCCTGCAGTCGGGTCGGTAGTTCGGACACTCTGAAGAGCCACACGTGCCACCCACCTCCCTGACACCTCCCGCGCGTCCCACGGTCAGGCCTGTTGACGAGACTCTCGGCTCATTTGTGTTACGTGTTTGTGTTCTGCCTCCCCTCATGGACAGTGCAGTTCATGAGGCTTGACGGCAGGGGCCGTGTCCCCAGAGCCTAGCACAGTGCTTGGCACAAAGGTGATGCTCCAACCTTATTTGTTGATCGTTTCCTTCCTTGTTACTCTGTTTCTGCATTGTGTTCCCCGGGGAAATGAGGAGAGGAGGGAGTCGACGCAGCTGGTTTCACTTTGGGGCAAAGTCCCCTCTGCTCCCCGCCGGCCCCGCCAGCCCTCGCCCCCTGCAGCCGGCGCGCTCTCACCTTGACCGAGGCCCCCCTCCACCTGCAGAAAGCCTCGTAATAACTTCGTATAGCATACATTATACGAAGTTATACGAGGAATCAGTAATACTGACCCTGTCTTTACTTAAAGTTTTGATATTTGTTCATCACGGATTTTTGCATTAATTTTGATTTTTTAAATTATTGCACTGAAATAGTGTTTGTCTTGATGGCTGATGTCTTGATGTCTTTGGCGCCCCCGAAATTCCAGCCTTGTTCCGGCTCCATGTGGGATGTGCACTGAGGACCAGCTGTGCCCACACGCATCCCTAACAGGCTGATTCGAGAGAACCTGTGAGAGGAAACTGTATTCCAAAGCCAGACCTGCAGCGGCCTGCAGGGTGGACTGAGGACGCACACCTTTGCGTGGCTCGGAGCAGGTATTCAATCTCTGGCTGAAGAATAGAGGGACAAAGGACCGTAAGAAACTGAGAGTGTCGCAGAGGCTGCACTTTCCATAGCATTCCTAGCTAGCCCTGAGGAGGGGACAGCAGGCCACTGGCCTTCCTTGCCCTGTTCACCGCCCCCCCACGTCCCTCCGCTGGGTCCTTTGCTGTTTCAGTGGAGGCTTCTAGCTCCACAGCCGAAAGCAGGGCGCCATGGCCCTGGAGCGGCGGCGGCAGGAAACAGGCAAGAGGGCGCGCGTGCACCGGAGCGAAGAGACCGCGGGGAAGCGGGAGGAGCGAGCCGGCGGGAGGGACCCGGCGGGTCGCGCGGGGGCGGCAGAGGACGCGGGCTGAAGGTTGTCGAGACGCGGAGCAGCGCCCTCTCCCCGCGCCCTCGGCGCTGCACGGTGGCGCCAGGCTCTGGACATTTCCCTGAGCCACCGTCTCCCGGGGAGGGTTGGGGCCGGGGACCCGGGAAGGCTCGCCGGGAGATTGACCTGCTCCCCGCCGTCGCCTTTCCCACTCTCGGGTGCTTATTTGTCTGTAACTAATCCTTAGCCCCCCAACCGCTGCAGGAGAACCCCTCCCTCCCCTTGTCCCCCAAATCCGGCGTCCCCGCCGCAGGACTCTGTGCTCGGTCAGTAGATGCGCTGGTTGCCTGCCCCAGCTGCCAAGGCCATGATCACGCTTCTTCGTCGTTGCAGCTCTTGCGCATGTAGGATTTGGGGCAATGGTTCTCTGAGGGGGACCAGTGCTCTTTCCTGGGAGTGTGTCTAGACATTCTCTCCATTGATTGGGAGCCGGGTTGCTCCTGATAAATGACAGTGCCTTTGGAGATAAACAGACTTGGATCCAAACTCAGTATCTGTTGCCGACAAACTATGTGACCTTCGAAAATTAACCTGCCCTCTCACTTGTAAAATGGAGCAATACCCGCCCTATAGGTTTGTTGTGAGGTGACTTATAATGCTTAGTACAGTTGCTACGTGAAATTCAGTACAGTGTTCAAAGACATACTAGCTGCCCTAGGCCAAGCCACTAGTGAGATTGAAGTTAGGCCTCCAACTAGTAAATGGAACCATTTGTTTGAATCAATCAAGGTATAAGGATTGAACATACTGCCGTCACCTTTAAGCAAATTCTTCATCCATTAAAAAATTGGACTTGGGCCAAAAATTCCGGAAGCGACAAGGAGAGGCTTAAACTTTAATGAGCATAAATATAAAAATAGTAGGCTTATACTGGGAATTGTGGGTCCAAGTGAAGCCCAACCGTATGCATTCATTTTAGGATCACTAGTCTTTGCTTATCTCCCGTTCTCAACTCCTGCAGTGTTGCCAGTGTCTTGCTGTCTTATCCGAAGCATGTAGGATCTTCACTTTTTTCTAGGACATTGGTTTCTTATTTGCAAAATGCCGAGAGGCAGTAGGTACTTTAAATTTTGACTTTGCTTTTGCTGAGTCAGATCCATTTAGTTTGGAGCCAGTTACATCTGGCGGAAGTGGTAACAGCGGAGTTTCATGTTGTTGTGTGTATGTAGATTTACAATTTAGTTCTGTATTTTATTGAAGGAATTGGGGAAAGAGAGGGAGTCCTTATAGGGATGTAGGACCGTGTATCACAATCAGGACCGGAAAGCTGGCGCGTTTACACCTACTGCCAGCAGAAGGAGCTCTACCAATTTCTATGGCTTGGGGAAATCGGGGGAAAATCGGTCGAAGCCCAATCAACTGAGGCCCAGAAAAGTGGAGTCAGTTATGACTACCTGTCTTGTTCCAAAATTACTCCAATCTGCTTATCTTTTTAGGGCTCTATTTGAAACCGTGCCCACTCCCCTTCCCAGCTGGCTTATCCATTAGGCACAGTAGGCATGATGCCTAGGGCCACACAAAAATATTTAATTTCTTCTAAAATCAGAAGAAGAAAATAATCTTCTAGGTGGAATATCAATATGTCGATCTTTATATTAATGCACATGTAAAATGTGATTTTTATTTAGCTATTTGTGTTTGTGAAAGAAATGGTTTCACAAAGGCAAAAGTACCTAGGGCCTAGGAAATTCACAATGTGGCCTTCCCCTTCTCCACCACTGTTTTGTGCCCTCTGCAAACCCCTAGTCACAGTGGGATCAATTCCCTCCTGGCTCCTGTCTTACTTCTAGGCTGTCCTGATGGCCCCCAGAGCCTGGCTGGCTGTGTTCACCAGGGCTTACAAGGACAACAAGACCACTGGGTGACAAGCACCTTTTCCCTCCTTTCTCTTTAGCTCTTCCTTGTCCTGGGAACCTCCACCCCCCAAATTCCACCTTTATCCTTCGTCTTCCCCCATTTGCTATAATGGCCCTGTGATGACAGCAACATATTAGACTTGAGTAGAGGTGAGTTGGAATTGTCTGCCTTATCTCAAAAGTTTCTGGGCATAAAAATTGTATGTCATTTATATGCACAAGGAGACCCACCTTCACTTCAGAAGCCTCACCCAATTTTGGTTTATACACATATCTAAATTGTTATGAAAGATGTAATACTGAATACCTGTAAACTATTTTTTATCTATTTTTAATAAATTCAATAAGGAAGATAGGTTACTTAATAGAAATCTGTAGTGAATCTTTTGGACAGGGAAAATTTCTTTTGAAGAATAGTCAACGTGCATTGAATGCTTACTGTATACTAGGCCCTATTCTAAGCACTTTGTATATATTTACTCATCTGATCTTTACAACAGCCCCATAAGGTGGGCACTATTATTATCTCCATTTTATAGATAAGGAAACTGAGGCATAGAGATTTTTAATAAACTGCACAAGGCCACACAGATAGAAAGAAGGTGGCAGAACAGGTTTCAAATGAAGCTTGAGGCCCTCTGACTCTCAAACGCATATCTCCCCATGACTCTTTAATGTAAATGCATGTTTATTTCTCACCTTGTGTCTGTATTTCCAGAAGAGCTCTAAATGATAGAATCATGCTGTCTCGTTTGTACCAAAGCCACCTGTATTAGGAAAGGGGGGGTGTAGGGTAGAAAGAAAAATTCTTCTATATGCTTATTCTTTGTCAGATAGTTTTCTTAATATTACAAGCTATATTTTAACTTTCTTTTAAAGACATAGCTTTGATGTTTTTTTTTGTTTTGTTTTGTTTTTTTTTGTCTTTTTTCCGTGTCCGGCAACGGATCGCAACCCTCAGTGTTGCCCCCGTACCAGACCGGGGACCGGCAACGGGATCGCAAGCCTCGGTGTTGCTCCGGCGCCTCGCCCAGCCAGTGAGCGGGAACCGGTCTGTATATGGGATCCGAACCCTCGGACGGGAGCGCCGCCGCGCTTCCCAAGCGGCGCACTATCCAGTGCGCCACCGGGCCGGCCCAGCTTTGATGTTTTTATGGTTACAAAACTAATACTAACTTCATAAAAAATCAAGCAGTAGTTTCACGTAAAGCTCATATGCATAACCATCTCACTGTCTAAGCAAAATATTTCCTATTTTATTACATTCCTAAAGTTATGTCATTCTGAACCTTAAACAAAAAATACATAATGAGAACTTGGGGATTAGTAAAATTAGTAAATTTTGGGATTTGCTTAGTAACTGAACCCATTTCCTTCTTTGGTGCTTTTTGGGATGGGTTTGTTTTATTCTGTCTTGTTAGATGTCGTTCCTAGGCAGCATTATTTTTCTTCTCTGGTGACCCTTGGAAACCCTTCATTGACTACTCTTGGATGTTCTGAGTTTACCAAAGCCCCAGTTTATAATTGCCAGCTCTATGTCCACAGGCTTTGAATGCCCAGAATGAGAGGGAGGAAACTCAAAGGCCTCCGTGGCCAAAAGGGGCATGGAAACGGCACACTGTGTGGCTGGTGGGGACTGGAGGACGTGGCAGAAGGCACGCTTTAAGTGGGCAGTTGGCTTCTCAGCTCTAGGTGATTCTCACATTTACATGGGAATGTCAGTTAATGAAGCCAGTTTTTTGGGGTTTTTTTTTTTTTTGGTTTTTTTGAGAGCTAGAAATATAGATTTCTGTGTGAATATTTTCATTTAGAAAAAAATGGCATAAATTTATAAAACACCTCATAGCTAAACAAAACACATCAGCTAATGGCCTTTGGCTTAAAAATAGTCAGAATTAAAAGTAGTCAGAAGCAGCTGGATCTGATGCTCTCAGGGCTGGGGAGAGCTGCGGGATTCATTTCCTTGGGGCTTTGCAAGTGGCTGAGTTAAGGTTACAGAGGCAACTGTTGGCAGAAACTGTCTCATATCATTCCACCTTCAATTCATCCTTCTGTTTGGCTAACCTGAGAATGAATAGCATTTTCTCCCACACTTTTAGAGCTCCTGTCTAGCTTTTAATGTATAATATGTATAATTTGAGCTTTAAGATCACCATCATTTTCATGAAGAGCTTAACCTAAATTCCCCCTGGACTAAGTGCTGTTGATTGGCTACTTCATGACAGGTATATTCTGAGCCTAGCATTTTCCAAACTCTTGATTCTAGGCCGTAAATCTGCTCTCTCCCCTCCACCTTCCAAATGGAATCAGCATCTTAGCTTGGGCTGTAGGAATCTGACCTTGCCACAGGCTCGGATAAGCCCCATTAGAACAGCCAGAGATAGAGAGACCAGGAGTGGTTGCTCTTGTGTAATCCCAGACAAGTGTCGGTATCTGTTGCCAAATACTGAAAGAGCAGCCGGTTCCAGCTGATCACCATAAAAGCTTTCCCAGCACTTGTGGCTTCAGAGGCCGAGGAGGCAGGGCACCCTGATAAATGTGTGGAAAGGATGCATGAGGGCTCCGCCCCTGTAAAGTGAGGGAGTCTAAAATATGCATTGACTATCAGTATGCACAGGTGAGTCTGTTTCTCAGAAAGTAAAAAAATATTTGGAGACAACTTTGCTTGTGTCTCCATACAAATTTCATGTTACAATGAAATCCAGAGAAAACCTTGATCAGAGATGCAGTGCCTCTGCCTAGAGGCTTTCAGATTTCTGTTTATTGCTTTTTCTCCCCTCAGGAAGACAGAGTTTGTTTGCTGTTCTGGTGAAGCTAAACAGTAGTTGAACAGTTGACTTCATTGGAAAACGATATTATTTTGAAGCGAAGCTTGGCATTCCGTGTCAGTGACCTGCTCAGAAGGGAAAGCAGTGGTTCTGCACTGGATTTTGGAGCCGCAGCTCTGAGCGTTCCCACGTCACCAGAGGAGCCAGTGAGGGATGAAAGCATGTCTGCTTCCAGGTTGTGGTCTGCCCTGCTGATCATGCTGGGTTCTCTCTGCCCTAGAGGTTCAGCGTGTGGCATTTCAACACACATAGAAATAGGTGAGTACTGGTGCCTTGTGTATTATTGAAAGAACAATAAATTTGTCAAAAGACATTAAGGAAGAGATGGAAAATTTATCCCATGTTTTGAAACAATTTCTCCCACCCGGCTGAGTGGACCTGCAGCGGAGAGGAGAAAGCTATGATTGGAGTGGTCCAGGTATGGGGATTCACAGGGTGGGTTCAGTGGTGGAGCAAGAGAGCGGATGCCCCTTTGGTTCTAGGGTCCCTTGGTGTTTCTCTGAGAAGTGAAATAGTGAGGAGCTCGATAAATTAGAGGTTGCAATGAATAAGAAGAACTGATAGAATGGGAGAGAGAGAGATAGTGGAAGATGGTAGGAGTGAAGAATTTATTTTTGTTTTTACATTCCCGTGGACAAACATTTCCAATTTACATGTAAAGAGCCATGTGTGGCCATGGGAGTGGGTCCCCTGAGTCAAGTGGCTTTAAAGGCGATGGGCTTCGGGGAGGTCAAGGAAGCAAGGAGTTTGCATGGTCATCGGCATAAGAGGTGCCTACAGTGGTGGCAGGAGCTGGGGAGTCAAGGGGCACAGCAAGCCAGTGCCACCGGCCTCAGGTGCAAAGATAGAGTTATCTGGATATAGGTAAGATGGTGGCACAGAGAATTGTTTTTTTCCCCCAGCTTCACAGAGGTATAATTTATGAGCAAAAATTGTATAAATTTAAGGTGTACAACATGATGTTTTGTTATATGTATACATTGTGAGATGATACCATACTCAAGCTAATTAATACATCCACCACCTCACATAGATACCTTCTGTGTGTGTGTGGTGAGAACACTTAAGGATCTACTCTTTTAGCAGAAGGATTTGGTTCTCATATGAAGTATATTTGTAACATTTTTTAACACAAGGAAAATGTGAGCCAATTCATAATATAATTAGCTATGATTACATTCTATAGAAGTTTTTACATTAATTTCAGATGTACCAGTTGTTCTGGGTTTTCTTTAGATAGAAACAGTATTTTAGAGCTATGCCACCCCCAGAAGTTACAAAGAATAACAATTACGGATAAAATATGAAAATTTTTTGGTGCAAAATAGACCTAGAGATTGAGGTATGGTGGGCAAGAAACTGTGATCGTAGAATCTTATGATTTGACAGGATGCTGGAGGTCACTGAGTCCAGATATTTTATTTTACAGTTGAGAAAAATGATCCCAGACTGTTTCACAGCTAACTTGTTAGTGGCCTGACAGCTAGTCCAGTGTTCCTTCTATTAAACATTTATTGCTAAAAGGGAGTCAGGAAACAACGGAAAAAAGAATCAGAGCCAGATTCTTTTTCTTTTTTTCAGAGCCAGATTCTAATACCAGCTCTGCTCAACTAGATGTGTGCCTCTGAGCAATTCACTTTACCTCTCAATTCCTCTTCTATAAAATGGGGGAGGTGAACTTCTTAATGCATTCTAAAGTTCTGGCTTCTAACTCTAAGTTCTGTGAAGTTGAAATTACTAAAGCTATAGAAGTGAGCTGAAGAGGAACAAATATTAAAGGAAATATTCAATTTTTTAATCCTTAGCGTTTAAAAATTTACAAAATGGATGACGTGTAAAATTTTAACAAAACCAAATAATTGCCTGCCTTTCTTCAGCAGCTACCAAACAGGGTCCTGATGGATATTTACATATGTATATATTTATATGAGCATAATTCAAGGCAACTCCTGAAATAGAAACTGCACAGATTTTGAGAATTTTTGTATAAAAGGAGACTAAAACTCTAACACTTATTTACTAATAACTTAGATGATTTTATAAATATCTTGGTTCTCTTTTTCATTGCTTATAAAGGGTGTGAGTGGAAGGTGGACATTTATGTGAGTTTATTAGAGTTGGCCTCTTTCAGTGGTTTGGGTCTGTAAATCACTGGAATCCTATATACAGCTTATTTGTGTGGGTTATGACTTGTCTCTTATGGTATTAACGTTTGTAATATTGTAGTTGCTATATTTTTTGTTGTATGAATTAAAAAATTGGATGTGATTCACAACAGAAATGTTGTCACCTTTGAATGTTTATTCACAAGGAATGTTAGTCTTCCTGTTAATTCTAAGGAAATTCAGGCTGTGGGTGTCTGTGTGTGGCTGTGTGGGAAGAGTAGGTAGCCTTCTGAGATTATTTTGTCTTCCCAAGGTGGTTGAAAAAACATTTGGGGATCATTTATTCAGTCCATGGTTTAGGCTGTTTATTATATTTTTTGCTTAGGTTTATTTACCTCAATTCTGAGGCACAGCGATAGGACAGCGATATCTGTTTCTTATCTGTCACTGTGCTTGTCACTTATTTATTTCTGTGATTCGCTCAACAAACTTGTAAGGTAGGTATTTTTTACTCAGTTTTACATAGGAGGTGTCTGAGGCCTAGAGAGGTTAAATAATTTACCCAAGGTTATAGAGCTAGTTAAGCAGAAACTTTAAATCATCATGTAAATTTGATTTATATTACAACAATGTAAGTATTGTATGCATCTGATTATCCCTAATGAAAATTTTAAGTACAAATGTCATTTTCATTTTCTTCTTCCTTGACAGTTACATCTGAAGAGTTATATATTTTCCTTTTAAAATGATCTCTAGAAAGTTCTCCTTTCAGTTATAGTTGAACTTAATTGATTTATGTCTTCCTTTTCTCTCAGGACACAGAGCTCTGGAGTTTCTCCGTCTTCAAGATGGGCGAGTTAACTACAAAGAGGTATAAAGCTTAACTTTTCTTTTACTCCTTTGTGCATTAACTTTCTTCTGTATGTGCCAAAGGTTCTATCAGATATTTAACCAGTAATTTTAAGAGTCATTTTTATGTATTTATAAATCATTAATATTATGGTTAAAAGGTATATGTCCCATTCAGTGCCACTTGAACTTTTTATATATAATAAAATAAATATTAAATTAAAAAAATTTTTAATGATGTGAATCATAATTTGAAAAAATATTTGAGAAAGAATTTTTTAAATGCTATATCTTTTTTGTTTTTACATCCAGAGGTTGCTGCACCTCAAAGACTTTGACTTACACTAACCAAATTAATAAGAATAATGCATAAAGCTGAGAAAGTCAGTTTATTCGTTCATAAGAACTGTAAGAACCAAGTTGACCCCACACTGGTGGCCATTATTGCCCTGGTATTTACTCTCTTTCTACAAGAGTAAGAAGAATGTGGTGAGTTAAGCATGAAATTAGAGCAATGGTGGTTATTTAGTTGGTTGTCATCATTTCTCTGCCCTACCCTTCAATAGAAAAAATGTCGTCTTCTCTAATTATAAAACTGCTAGAAGCTCATTGTTAAAGAAAAATTCTCAGAGGGCCGAGGCCACGGGTTCGGATCCTATATGGGGATGGCCGATGCACTCACTGGCTGAGCGTGGTGCGGACCACACCGTGCAGAGGGTTGCAATCCCCTTACCAGTAAAAAAAAAAAAAAAAATTCTCAGAGATAACCAATATTAACATTTTGTTTTATATCATTACAGGCATTTTCTCTGCATTTATTAGCACTCCACCCCCCAAAAAAGATTGCACTTTACACACTGTTTTATAACTTACTTTTTTTCATTTAATAAATCAGAAATATCTTTCCATGTCAATAAAGATCTTCAGAATAATTTTTAACAATTACATATTTTTCTATTATCCAGAATGTATCATAATTTATTTAAGCAACTCTCTATTTTAACTTTTTGTTTAAAATAATTTAAAACTGATAAAAGAGCTAAAACAGTAGACAAATATGTATACCCTTTACTCAGTGTTCCCAACTGTTGACAGCTTGTATTTGCCATTTTGTCCTCTCTATTTAGAAATACTGTTTTTTATCTGAACCATTTGAGAGTTAGTTGCTGACGTGGTACTCATTCTGTTTCAACACATTGTTGAGTATTTCCTAAAAACAAGGACACTGACCTATATAACCTCAGTATAATAATCACGATCAGGAAGTCTGCATTGCAATAACACTGTCATCCAATTGGTAGACCTCATTCAAATTTCACCAGTTGTTTTAATAATGTCCTTTATGAGTCCAGGGCCAACTCAAGGTCAGGACTAAATCCAAGTGTTGCATTTAGCTGTCAGTTCTCTTTGGCTTCTTGAAATCTGGAACAGCTCCTCAGGCCAGCCTTGTCTTTGATGACCTTGATACTTTTGAAAAGTACTATCTAGTAGCTCTGTAGAATGTACCTTAATTTGGTTTTGTCTGATGGTTTGTTATTAGATTCCTTTGAAGATCATGCATTTTTGTCAGGAATCTGATAGAATGTCAAGGTGATGCTATATTCTTTGCATCATATCAGAAAGCCCTCAGTGCTAATTTGTCTCATTTCTGGTGACATTAAATTTTCTTTCAGTTATGATGTTTTTCAGTTCTAAAATTTCCATTTGGTTCTTCTTTATATCTTCTATTTCTTTGTGACTTTGTATTTTTTTGTTAGTTTGGAGCATGCTTGTAATTGTTCACTGAAACATTTTTATGATGGCTGCTTGAAAATATTTGTCTTTGGGGTGGCCCGTGGCTCACTTGGGAGACCGTGGTGCTGACAACACCAAGTCAAGGGTTAAGATCCCCTTATCATTCATCTTAAAAAAAAAAAAAAAGAAAATATTTGTCTAGCAAATATTTGATATATGAAAATATTTGTCAGATAATTGTAACATTTCTGCCATCTCAATGTTGGCATGTATTGATTATCCTTTTTGCTTTTTTTTGTGGCTGGCCAGTATGGGGATCTGAACCTCTGACCTTGGTGCTGTCAGCACCATGCTCCAACCATCTGAACCAACTGCCCAGCCCTGATTGTCTTTTTTTGATAACTTTTGAGGTCTCCCTGGTTCTTGGTGTGATGAGTGGTTTTTTATCAAAACCTGGACATTTTGGGTATTAGGTTATGAGATTCTATCTTATTTAAACCTTCTGTTTTAGTTGGTTGTTTCTGATACCACTCTGCTAGGGGAAGAGGTTGGGAATACCACCTTCTTACTGCCAAGTGGGGGTAGAAGTCAAGGTTCCCCACGTGGCCCCCACCGATACTTCCCTGACTCAGGGACAGGGGAGGGAGTAGGAGTGCCTAATTACTACTCCTCGCCATGGCCTCTGCTGATGCCAGAAGGCGGGGTGACCTCTTGTCGCTGGGTGGTAGTGAAAGTCTTGGCTCTCCCCTGGGCCACTTCTGACACCACCCCAGTGGGGAGGGGGAGGAGCAGCTTGTTACCACCAGGTGACTGGGGTGTCCAGACTCTCCTCATGACACTGAAGTGGAACATTGAGGTGGGGAGCAGGATGGCAGGGATGAAAGTCCCCACTCCTTGGCCTTCTGTGACACTGTCCAGCAGGGGTGTCAGGGCAGCTGTTTCAGCCTGGCTCCTCACTTGGCCTCAACTGACAGGGGGTTGAGGTTGGGGCCACTGTTTGGTCTGTGGTGTCTGGATGGAGCAGAGAGGTTATTGTTAAAAGTTTTCTGCCTTGCTGGGCTGCCCCTTTCGTCCTGTGGCTAGAAAGAAGAGGCTTTTTGTTGAGGCTTTTTTTTTCTTGTCTGTGCCATTGTTTTTCTGGGTTGTTAGCTCATATGAGGCAAAAAAACCCAAAAAACAAAAAACAAACACACACACAGAGACATCACCAGTGTCATTCCTTGGTCCCAAGTTGCCTAGCTGGTCTGCATACTTATTTCCACCTTTCAAGGTCATCTTTGTTCATTTTATATACTATGTCCAGGGTTTTTAGTTGTACTTAGCAGGAAGTGGAAGTCCTAGGGATGATAATTTTTATCACTTGGTTAAGATGCTGTCTGCCACATTTTTACTCTGGAGGGTTAACAAGTAGTTTCTAATTTGTAATTAATAGGTAAATATTTTATGGGGAGATATACTGAGGTTATGTAAATATCCGGTTTCTCATCAAATTTTTGCCCACTGATTTTAGCATCCATGAATGATTCTTGCCTGAAATAATTATTTTGGTGGTTGCTACATGGCGTTTATCTGATTCCATCATTCCTTCTACACTTATTAGTTGGCATTCTGCTGTGAGGTAAAGCCTTTCCTCCTCCCCCGTTTATATATTGATTTATACCAGTATCCATTCATGGATTTCTCTTTTATTTAATGGCTTATAATACATTACTATTATTCTTTATCTTGATGCTCAAATTGTCCTGGTTTTGGCTTGAAGTTGGCCAGTCTGTCTGTCTCCTGTCTGTCTAGCTATAATTAATCTACCATTTAAAACCATAAGTTGGGGGCCGGCCTGTGGCTCACTCGGTAGAGTGCGGTGCTGATAACACCAAGGCCACGGGTTCGGATCCCATATAGGGATGGCCGGTTCGCTCACTGGCTGAGCGTGGTGCTGACAACACCAAGTCGAGGGTTAAGATCCCCTTACCGGTCATCTTTAAAAAAATAAAATAAAATAAAAAATAAAATAAAACCATAAGTTGATGCAAAAATACCACCAATTTTGATCTGACACCACAGGATTTATTCTATTCTTCTCCGATCTGTGTCTGCAACTCCTGTCTCCAATACTGAGAAACCTGGCTTCCATTGTTCTCAATATATTTATTTACATGCTCAGTCTCCTTGTATGTGATCAGTTTCTTGACCATGCCTGGCAATCCCCTCAGCCTTGGGGTTGGCATGGGCAGCCAAATCTCCATGGCCTAGAAACAAATGAAAAAACAAAACAAAACATATGTGACAAACATAGAAGACATAAGACAGAGGCAGGGTGAACATCCTTAATTGTTCATTAAAAGTTCTTAAGTATCTCCAGATTTGGAAACAGTTTGCTTTTAGGCTTAATTGTTATTGTTTTTCATCTTTGCCAGTTTGGTAGGTAAAAAATGGTAGTTTCTTATAGGTTTAATTGGCATTTTCATTATTAATTTATTAATGAGGTTAAATATATTTTCAAGTGTTTGACCATTTCTGTTGCCTCTTCTATAAATTGTCTTTTGCTCATTTTTTCTATTACTATATTTATCTTTATCTTGGCATGTAAAGAATGGCTTATTTATTAAAACTATTAGCCTTTCATCTATCAAATGATTCTCATGGTTATGTATTTTTATTTTAAATTTGTTTTTTGTCCTTTTTACCATGCAAAACTCTTACATTTTTGTGTAGCTAAATTTATCCATGTTTCCTGTTATGCTTCTGACTTGTATGTTATGCTAAGAAAAATCTTTCCCACTCCACAATAATAGTTATTCACTTAAATTTTGTCGTGTTAATTTCATGGCTCCATTTTTTTTTTTTTTGTCTTTTGTCTTTTTTCCGTGTCCGGCAACGGATCGCAACCCTCAGTGTTACCCCCCTACTGGACCAGGGACCGGCAACGGGATTGCAAACCTCGGTGTTGCTCCCGCACCTCGCTCAGCCAGTGAGCGGGAGCCGTTCTGTATGTGGGATCCGAACCCTCGGGCGGGAGTGCCGCCGTGCTTCCCAAGCGGCGCACTATCCAGCGCGCCACTGGGCCGGCCCCATCATGGCTCCATTTTTTTTTTTTTGTCTTTTGTCTTTTTTCCGTGTCCGGCAACGGATCGCAACCCTCAGTGTTACCCCCCTACTGGACCAGGGACCGGCAACGGGATTGCAAACCTCGGTGTTGCTCCCGCACCTCGCTCAGCCAGTGAGCGGGAGCCGTTCTGTATGTGGGATCCGAACCCTCGGGCGGGAGTGCCGCCGTGCTTCCCAAGCGGCGCACTATCCAGTGCGCCACTGGGCCGGCCCCATCATGGCTCCATTTTTGATATTTAACTTTCTAATTTATCTTGCATTTATTTTGGCATAAAGCATGATAGGGATCCAGTGACCTGTTACTGATAATGTTAATTTCAAGTCAGTGTCACCTAGGTTAAGTATGGATTCACCTGTGCAAAGATGGTATACTCGTGGCTATAGGGTTGTGACAACACCGTTTGTTGATTTCTCCATCATTTATTCATCTCTATTAAACATTAAGTTATATGTGTGCTGAATCTATTTCTGTACTCATTATTCTGTTTCATTAATCTGTTTCTTTTGGTTCTAGTAGCATACTGTTTTTATTTCTGTAGCTCAATATATTTTTTCCCCAGCAGTGTCCTGACTATTTTGCATGTTTATTTTTCAAAATTTACTTTACAGTTATTTTGTCATGTTAAGTAACATAGGTGCCTCACTTGGAAATGCAGATTTAACAAGTTTTAATACATAAAAAGTGCTTAGAACAGTAAAGTAAATATTCAATGAAGTTAATTATTATTTTCAAGTGACAAAAGTCCAACTCAAACTATCTTTTTTTTTTAAGGAGGACTTTATTAGTTCATGTTACTGATGGCACAGGCTAGAGCTGGACCCGTAGGTCTAGATGGTGCTCTGTATCTCCCCACAGGGAGGACACTGACAGCCCAGGACTCAGCCTCAAAGACTAGCAGCCCCGAAAGGAAAAGGGAGTCTTCTCATAGCTCTAGCTGAGAAGTCTTGGGGAAGACGCTAACTGAACTAGCTTCAGACACGTGTCCACCTTTGAGCCAAACACTGTGATGCGGTGGATAAAGTGCTGGCTCCTTACCCCATCGTCAGTCCCCGGTCAGCATGGAATGGGTTCTCCTCAGGAGAGAGTGATTCCATCTCTAGAATGAGGGAAATGGGATATTCGCTGGAAAAAACTAAAACATAAAACAGATGACACTATCTTTCCTTGTGTTTTCAGTTCTCAAACTACTTCTTTGTTGGGTCCATGGATGGTCCATATTATTAGTAAGTCCTTATTGGAAAAAAAAAAATAGTTGTGTTGCCAAACTTTCACTTTGCCCACCGTGTCCATCAGAGTTCATTTGCAGATCATGGAAACCCCTCTGGCTAGCTTAGGCAGAGGAGGGCTTAATACCAAGAATTTGGGGATTCACTGCTTATAAACTGTGAGAACTGGAGCAGCAGGCTCTAGGCTGAGCGTTGTAGGGGTGGAGAGGGGTTGACCCTTCTCCCCATCTTAAGGGTCATGGCTGACACCCCTACAACAAAAGACAGGTTAACAAAAGACAAGCATGGCAAATTTATTTGATCATAGTTTTATGTGACGTGGGAGCCTTCAGGATGAAGGCTCAGAGGTATAGGGAAGACTGTCCATTTTGATGCTTAGGTTCTATGAAGCAGGGACAGCCATGTAGAAATGTGATTGGATGAAAGTGTAGGCTCTAATGGTGATAGACTGAGTGGGGAAACCCAGCAAGGCCTGTCTGTTCAGATTCTTCTTGGCGTCTCTGTGCAGCCTTCCTGCCTTCTGGATATGGGGCAGGACCCCTGTGGAATGAGAGTCTCAGAAAGTCAAGCTAAGGTCAGAGTAATATTTTTAGATTTTATGGCTGACTTTGGGGAAAAGGAGTTCTGGTTTCTATGACCCACTTTGGGAAAGAAGGATTCTAGTTTCTGTGGTTTGCCTTGGGAGAGTATGAGGGGCCAGAGACAGGAGGGCAGGGGAAGGTCAGAGAGAAACTTCGCTTCTGAGGCCTTCACTTTGGGGTATTGTTTCTGAGCCCCAACAGTATCCAGAAAGGACTCCGAGAACAACACACAGAAGTGGCCTGCCAAAGATCTGCTACCTGTGCCATTGTCAAACAGCCACTCTGGTTCCACATTCAACTGTCTCATACATGGTTTGGAAGAAGAAGCCACTGTGGGACCTCATTGCCTCAGCCACGCTCCTTGCTAGCAAAACAGATGCCCTGTGCTGTGACTGTGAACATGTGGCAAGCTGGAGCTGCAACATGGGGCCTGTGCTGCACCTGCTGCAGAAAAAACGAACCCTTCATGACAGCTGAAGAAGCAAGTGGCTTCTGTGATGGGGACTGGGCCACATCAGACTCTGAGCTGGGACAGTTTGGGAAATGTCATTGTTTTCTAGCCTCTAGCATGCAGCTAGGCACGTCATAAGGGACTCGGAATGGAATTGAGTGAGCCAATTGTCCAGGAAAGAGAAGAAAATTGTCCTTTGAAAAGAAAACCACTACCATCTACCTTCATATCATTTTATAAGGGAAAAAGTTTTTTTTAGCTCTCCAAAAGCACCAAAGGACATAATCTTACACTTAAGCACAGGTCGTCTATATATGTATTTAAACTGGTATATATGTGGGTGGTATGTATTTTTCTTGTTTCACTGTGGATCCTTAAAAGTCTATCACAAATCAGCTCCCATCAGAGAAACAGCCTTAGGGAAATCCTGCTGTCCTGGGTAGACAGAAAAAATGAAAGGAGGTGCCATTTAAATACGTGATTTTTGCTGCTTCTTAATTAGCCTGTGTTTGGTAGGAACAAACCTGAAGTTATACAGAGTAATGAGTTGTCTTAAGTTATGTCTCATATTTACTTATCTTCCTTTCTTCCTTTTTTCTTCATTCCTTTTTTACACCTCCACAGTTCCAGCATCTTATGGCTGGAAATTGATGGGGCCTGTATTTCCCAAGCTGTTGACTCTGACCTTCCAATCTCTCTATTTCCTGCTCCCCAGCTATTACTAGAACACCAGGATGCATATCAGGCTGGAACCGTGTATCCTGATTCTTTTTACCCTGGCATCTGCAAAGGAGGTAAGATGACGGTTTGCAGACCAAACGATGTACTTTTGCTTGGTTAAAAGAAATGGTTACGACTTAAAAAATACATAACAGCACAATATATTTTCTACTGTTGTTGGTCAATGACTTAGTTTACATAGTTACATTTTCTATTTGGCTGAAACTTACCTGCTGAAGCATAGAAATTCTGAAAACTTTATTTTTTGACTGAAAACCACTCTACGTGTTCTTACTTGCTTTATTGCTTTATGGCATAAGAGGAAACATTTTGCAAGAAATCAAAAAGTCTGAGTTTGTGTTCCTTTTATACTGCCTGTTAGCATGGGACCTTGAGAAAGTCCCTTACACGCAGTCTCAGTTTCCGTTTCTGCAGTGTGGCAATGATAGAGCCTGCCCTGCTTTTTCACTGGATTGTTGTTGGTGTTAATGCATAGTATTTTGTCAAGTGTTATGCAAATCTAAGGTACACTGGGCTCATGGGTTGTATCAGTCAGGGCCCCAGCAGGCCACAGGAGGCACATGCAAACTGAATAATTGAAGGGGAGTTTAATAAGGGCACTATTTTCAAAGCTGTGGACAGGATGTAAGAAATTGAAAGGGATAGTGCGGGGGAGGGAGCGATTTCTGCAACTGCAGACAAAGAGAGCTGCGTGGAGAGGGCTGCGTGACAGCAGCTGGACCTTTTGCTGAGGGATATGGCCAGTCCACTGCAACCCCATGGAAGGGGAGCAGGCAGGATAAATACCCCAACCTCTCTCGCTTCCTTTTCTCTGATCTTCTGTGGGTTCTCTCCATTGGCCCAACCCAATCCAACCAAAGCATGAGGGCAAAGAAGCCAGTTGAAGCAGGTGATGTCTGAGTCACCCTGCAGGATGGAGAAGGGTGGCGAGTGGATGTGGAGGGCTGAAAGGGAGCCATTCAGCACACTCCGTCATTGTGGAAACCACTGCTGGGATCTCGGGCCATTATCCCATTCTTTTAATATAGTGATGCTTTTAGGGTCAGTGAAATGTTTAGGGCTACTCACTCCTGTAGTTATGATCCCAGACAGCTGAGCTTTTGTATTTCTCATATTTATAATTTTTTTTCTGTTTTCCTCTTAGTCTGTTAACTCTCATTTCTCAGTCTTATCATTTTGTCTGCATGTTGTAGTTCTCCTTTTCTCTAACCTATTATTTCTAATTTAGCATTTCCCAAACTTTATTTGTGGGAGCTCTGCTGTCCCTTAATATTTTAAAACTCCCCTGATGTCTTATATAAAAAAGAAAAAAAGAAAAGGATTTTTTTATTCATTATTTGAAAAACATTGCTTAATGTATGCCACTTTTACAGAGAGACAAAACACATAATAACAAAGGTTCTGAGAAATGGGAAAAGGAATTCAAACTATCTAGCATTTTTCATTTTTTTTGTGTGTGTGTGACCAGTAAGGGGATCGTAACCCTTGGCTTGGTGTCGCCCGCACCGTGCTCAGCCAGTGAGTGCACCGGCCATCCCTATATAGGATCCGAACCCGCGGCAGGAGCTGCGCTGCGCTCCCATCACCGCACTCTCCCGAGTGAGCCACGGGTCGGCCCCAGTTTTCATTTTTTTTATAAAGCAGCAGATACTCTCTTGTGATGGAAAGATTGGGATCAGCGGGTTTTTTCTAAATTCTGCAGAGTGGGAATTGTTTAGTCTTATCTCTAGGAAAACGGTTGGAGCAAATTAAATTGCTTGATTCCAACTTCTTTGAAAATCATTTTTAGAAAAACCAGTGTTTTAAAACTGGCTAGACAATTTTTGCTTTAGCAACACCATAAAAATTTTGAACTGAGAGATCTGAACTCTGGAGTTTTGCTTTTAGTCGCCCTGGTAACATTTGGCCCCCCATGAAGAATTTGCAGCATTTGGAGGTTTAAAGCAGTTGCCACTTCTTGTCTTTCTGGCCCGTCCTATGGGAATAAAGAGCCCACTCAAATGATGTTTGCCTAGAATATTCATTAGGACCTGTGCCATTTTAAAACAATTATTATAAATTCAAATGCCTGAAAGCCTTTGGAGTATCTGCTTTTGTTTTTTGTGCTGTTAGGGAGATTTACTGTGATGGACAAAGAGGATATTTTTAAAAACACAGAAAACAAACCAAAAGTTGCTTCTTTATGGCACAGGAATTGAAATGCTTCTAGCCTCTGTTGCAGCCAGGTGACACAAGATGCTGTCAGCCAGTTTAGGTTCCTCTCCTCTTACTGCAGGGCTCTGGGCAGCAGGCAGATAGTGTACCATGCCTGTTCCAAAGTTTCAGCTGGCTCTTCTCTTTTGGGGGCTTTTTTGAACATCAGTAGAAGAAACTAAGGGGCTTGGAGGGAGAGAGGAGAAGGGACACAGCAGCACAGTTGGTGGGGGTGGAAGATTTGACGGAGATTCTCCAACTTTTAAGAAAGAATCCAGAGCCCTGCTTTTGTTTTGTCAGGAAAATTCCATGATGTGTCTGAGAGCACCCACTGGACTCCGTTTCTTAATGCAAGCATTCACTATATCCGAGAGAACTATCCCCTTCCCTGGGACAAGGTAGGCACGGCCCTCTAACCCTAAAAAAAAATTCAGCTTCAAACCTGCCAACTACTGTTTTTTATCTGCATTTACCCCATTCTTACCCTCCCTACAAAATTCTGTAAGAGCAATTCACCATTGCACCTTTAATGCCAAACACAGGACTTGGGACATCGTATATTACTTATTCAAGTTAGTACTTGAATAAGTTATTTTTTTAAAAGTGTGGGATAGGTCACTTTGTCATTTTGCTCTAATAGTAATTAAACTGAAAGCACTTCCAAGGCACTGCAAAACATTTTAGAAAGTCCTGTGTAGTTTTCAGTTATTAGAAACTACAGTGTACTTGCCTTTAATTTTTTGTTTAGTCTCAATAATGAAAATGAATTCATATTGATTAAAACTTTTTCTAAGATTGTTGATATAAAAATAACCAAACGCACATGACTCTAATGTGCTTATTTGGCAGGACACAGAGAAGTTGGTAGCGTTCTTGTTTGGAATTACTTCTCACATGGTGGCAGATGTCAGCTGGCATAGCCTGGGTATTGAACAAGGATTCCTTAGGACAATGGGAGCTGTGAGTACCTATCTTTATGGTTAATGACTTTATGGAAGTGATACTGTCATACCCAGGATCAAAATCTGATCTTTTTAAAGGAAAGGAAAACTTAAGGTTATTCAGGTGTCATATGGAAACAAGACTTCTTACCCAAAGTGGTGTTTGGTTAGAGCTCCATCTTTTCCTATTTATGCCTTTTATACTTTTTGCCACCTGGGTGAATTCACCCACAAGAGCAGAATGACTAATATGCACTGAAGACAGCAATTGATGTTATGTGCAGTTTTAGTCACAAACACTATTTGAGAAATTTTATGTTTCAAGCTGTGTGTCTTAATAAGAATATGAATACCTGCCACTTGGTTCTATTTAAAACTAATAGTTCTACTTTTTTTTCTTGTTTTTAATTTTTTAAAAAAAATTTCTATATGAAAATGCCATATCCCCAAACTGAAAATTGTGATCTTACTTGGTGTCTGAAAGGCTTCTCTGGTCATTAATTGATATTAATTCCATTATGTTAGAAGTTTAAACTTGGATTTTGTTTTACCCTCTGAAGCACAATTGTCTGCAGTAGCTTTATTATCAGATATTAAGTATACAACGCAGCTGCAGATATAATTTTTTTTTTTTTTACAAATAATAAAATGTTAGTGTGAGAATTGAGTCCATTTGCATTCTTAGGAATTCATTGGGTTAGGCTGTCATCTCCCCATTACCTGCCTGATTGTGGGAGTAAGAGTTTTAGCTATAATTTGTGATGTAAAGAGGCCGTTGTCTTTCTTTTTCAGATTGATTTTCATGGCTCCTATTCCAAGGCTCATTCGACTGGTGATTTTGGTACTGTTTATTTACATTTGCCAAATTTTCTCCCGTGGTAGTAATGGTTCACTTATAATACTATAATTTGTGATGTAAAGAGGCCGTTGTCTTTCTTTTTCAGATTGATTTTCATGGCTCCTATTCCAAGGCTCATTCGACTGGTGATTTTGGTACTGTTTATTTACATTTGCCAAATTTTCTCCCGTGGTAGTAATGGTTCACAAGTCACATATATATTTAAAGTCACTTTAAATATATATGCTTTTTAGATTTTGCCTGTAGCATATACTTAGTAGCTTTCTATTTTAATATTGCAGTTCATTTAGTGTACAGGCATCCCTCATTTAATATAGAGATATATTTCTAAAAAGTTGTGTCTATACATGTATTTATTTATTTTTGTTAAAAACTCCTACATTTTATCATTGACTTGTGTTATAATTTTAGAAAAACCTTACTTTTATATTGGATTAAAATTCATTAGCTAGTGTCTCTTAATCTCCTAATTCTTTAGCTTTAAGTTGGTAGACTCCCATCTTTTTTTCCGTAGTAAATTACCTTTAAATATACAAACTAGGTGGTGAATGGTGTTTATTTAAAAGATCTCCTGTGGTCTACTTTCCTTAAAGTAAAAACTCCTTTGGTTGTGTGGATGATTCTTTCTTAATTCATAGGCTTCATTAACTAAGATTTTTTAAAGATTACTTTTTCTTAAAGAAAGATGTGCCTCTACATAAAACAATTAACAGAAATATGTAACAATGGAAAGAACTATTAAAATGGTTTTTGAGAACTTGTGTTGAAAGAAGCCTGCTGTTTGTCACTAATCCACCAAATGCAAATATTTTTCTCATACCTTAGGAGGGGATGTGTTGAGCCAGTTTGAATTTAATTTTAATTACCTCGCAAGGCACTGGTAAGAGCAGTATACATTTACATATGTGATATCTAAATGTCATTTAGGGCATTAACTCTTTTTTTCTTAGAAAATATAACTTACAATATAATTAAGAATCTTCTGCATTTGTAAATTTTGAAAAGCAAAACTGCAAATTAGAGTAATCTAAGTAGATTATTTAAAAAAAATTGTGAATTATACCAAGCATACCAAAGAATGCATATTTATAAATAAAAGAATAAGATAATGCACACCTGTGTAGCTACCTCCCACCTTAAGAAATAGAGCGTTGCTGGTTAAGTAGCTCCTTGTCTTCTCTTCTCAATCACATAACTTTCTCTCCCACCAGGGGTAACCACTAGGTTTCCTGTTAACCTCTTTGTTGCTTTTCTCAACAGTTTAACTACATATGTATGTATCCATATGCAAAATATTATATGGTTTTTCACTTTAGATAAATAGGATTGCACACTATGTATTCTTCTGCAATTTTTTTTTTTTTGCTTAAAATTATGTTTTTGAGATTTAATCATATTGACATGTTGAGCTACCTAGTTCATTCATTTTCACCAGGATATGGTCCTCCATTGTTTGAATATTCCACAATGAATTGCTCCATTCTAATGTTAATGGGCACAGAGGTAGTTTTAAGTGTTTTTGCTTTACACATGGTGTTGCTATGAACATCTTTCACGCATACATTCATGCACCAGGGGCATCATTCTCAAGTAAACACCACCAGAAGTGGATCCTAGGGCTTATGCATGTTTGTTTGTTTGTTTTTGTCCTTTTTTGAGACCGGCCACACCACGCTCAGCCATTGAGCGCTGTGAGCGCACCGGTCATCCCTGTATAGGATCCAAACCCGCGGCGGGAGCGCTGCTGCGCTCCCAGCGCTTCACTCTCCCGAGTGCGCTACGGGCTCGGCCCTGCATGTTTAACTTTACTTTTTCAAAATGGTTTTCCCGATTTATATTCTTATCAGCTTCATATAATAATCCTGCTGCTTCTGTATCCTCCAATACTTGGTGTTGTCCAACTGGTAAATTTTTTCACCCTGTTTGGTGTGTAATGGCATCTTATTAAGGTTTTAATTAGAATTTCCCATATTGATCATTTTTTTCCTATTTTATTGATTAGTTAGATTTTAAGTGAAAACTTTTTCAGTTTTTAGCCTGTTTTTCTGCTGGATTATTTGTCCTTTTTATTTATTTGTGAGTGTTCTTTATATATTCTGGTTTCCAATCTTTTGTCAGTTTGTCATTTACTTGTTACTAAAATCTTTTTTCGGTTTGTGGTATGTCTTTTCACTTAGTTTGTGGTATATCTGGATAAACAGAATTTTTAAATTTCAATGTAGTTGAATATATCAGGCTTTTTTTTTTTGTAATTTATACTTTTGATGTTTAAGAAATTTTTTCCTATCTTGAGGGCATGAGGTTATTCTACATAGTTTTCTAAAGCTTTTATACTTTTATTTTTTAATTTTATGTCTTTATCTGGAATTAATTTTTTGCAAATTCTGAGTTATAAATCTAATTTTATTTTTTCCTATAGAGATAACTATCCCAGAACCATTTATCAAATAGTCTGCCTCACTGATCTGCAATACCTAATTTGTTATAAATTAAAATTTCACATGTATATGGGTCAGTTTCTGGACTTTCTGTTATGTTCTGTTGGTCTAATTGACGACCCCCAAGCAATCATTGTTTTAATTACTTATTGTTTTAATTACTGTAGCTTTATAATAAGTCTTGACCTCTGCTAGGGCAGCTCTCCCAGCTTGCAGTTCGCCTTTAAAAGTGCCTTGCCTGTTCTTCTTTATACTTTCAAATAAAAGTCAGGATCAGGTTGTTATACTTCAAGAAAAAATTTGTTGGAATTTTGATGTTTATTGAATCTAGTGATCAATTGGAGGAGAATGAACAATTTTATAATATTGAGTCTTCTTATTCATAAATATGTTAGATACTCATTTCATTGACTTGTTTCATATATTTGTTGTCTTTAATGATTTAAATAAAATTATCAGTTTTTCCACCCAAGTTCTTACACATTTTATTAGATTTAGTTCCAGAGACTTTATATTTTTATTTTCCATCATAAATAGCTTTTTAAAGTTATATTTTCTAATGGATTGCTGGGGCGTAGAAATGCAAGTGACTTTCTAATTTTGATTTTGTGTCTAGCAATGTTTCTAAGCTTTCTTATTAATTCTAATAATTTTTCTGAAGATTTTTTGAATTTACTATAGACTCACAATTTATAATCTATGAATTTTGACAGTTTCTTTTTTCCTTTTCAGTCTTTATATCTTTGATTTTTTTTTCTTGCTGTATTTCCTGGCTAATATTTCCAGCACAATGCTGGGTAGAAGTGGTGATATTAAGCATACTTATTTTGTTCCTGATCTTAAAATGCTTTCAAGTTACATCATTGTAATGTTGCTGTAGATTTTTGTGGATTCCCTATATCAAGTTAAGGAAGTTTCTGGTAGTTTTTATTCATAAATCAATATCAGAGTGTATAGAACATTTGTTTTGTATGCACGATATTTATTTCTCTCTTAATGTGTTAATATAGTGAATTTTGTTAATCTATATACTAGTACTAAATCAACCTTATTGACTGGGACAAAACCAATTTTGTCATGATATATCATCTTTTTAGTATTTGTATCTATTCTTGCTCTTTAGGGTTTTTGCATCTATGATTATGATCATCTGTGTTTATGAGAGCGCCGAATCCTAACCACTAGACCACCAGGGAAGCTTGATCGTCTGTGCTTATGAGCTTGTACTGTAGTCTTCCTTTCTTCTGTCCTTGTTTGATTTTGCTATCAAGGTTATGCTGGCTGTATGAAGTCAGTGATGGAGTGTTCCTTCCTCTTATATTCTCTGGAAGTTTGTGTGGGATTAGAGCTTTGATTCCTTAAATGTTTGGTAGAATTTGCCTGTAAAGCTCTCTAGTCCTTATCTTGGTAGGGACTTTTTAAAAACTTCTTTAATGGTTATAGGACTATGGTTTTTCAATTTCTTCTTAAGGAGTTTTCTATTTTTCTAGAACTTTTACATTTCATCCAAGTGTTTAAACATTTTGGCATAAGGTTGATCTTGATATCTTCTTTTTTTCTCCAACTTTATTTGTATTTATGTTCTCTTTGTTATCTATAATGTTGTTTATCCTGCCTTCTCCCATATTTTTAAACAACTAGTATATTTCTTTTTCATTATTATTTTAAAGACTGAATTTTGTCTTTATTAATCCTCTATTATATGTTCATTTTCTATTTTATTGCTTTCTACACTTTATTTTCTTCCTTCTACCTTCTTTGGGTTCTTGTGGAATTCATTGAGTCTTGATTAATAGCCTAGCATATGATCAATTTTTGTAAAAATTCCACAAAAGCTTGAAAAACTTATTTCTCCAATTTTTGGTTTAATGTTCTATATATGCTTATTAGCTTAACTTACTAAATTTACTGTTCAAATCAAAAGATTTGTGAGCTATAACTAAGATACCTTACTATTTATCTCTTTATTTCCTTTTTTTTTTTTTTTTTTTTTTAAAAAAAGATGACCGGTAAGGGGATCTCAACCCTTGGCTTGGTGTTGTCAGCACCACGCTCAGCCAATGAGCCAACCAGCCATCCCTATATAGGATCCGAACCTGTGGCCTTGGTGTTATCAGCACCACACTCTCCCGAGTGAGCCACGGGCCGGCCCTATTTCCTTATTTTTTATCAGGTTGATCTAATGATTACAGAGAGAGGAATTTGTTTTAAAAAAACTCCCCCTATGATAGTGGATTTTTTTTTCAATTTCTCCTTGTAGTTCTGTCCAAATTTGCTATATGTGTTTGTGGGTTTTTGTTGGTTTTTTCTTTGGCAGCTGCCCAGGATGGTGATCTGA